TTTTTTAAAAAAGCACACGTGTCCTGCCTTCCTCCTACACCCCATTCCTCCCCCACCGACTGGCTGGCTGGCCACCAGAGCATCGCTGGGACCAGAAGCCAAGCCTTCGGAGGTGTGCTGCAGGTGTCCTAATCAGGGTAGCCATCACGGCCCCTACTGCTCGCCCTTGTCACCTCTTTTAAAAAGATGTATTTGTTTTTATTGCAAAGTCAGATATACAGAGAAGAGGAGAGACAGAGAGGAAGATCTTCCATCCAGTGATTCATTCCCAAGTGGTCATGATAGCCAGAGCTGAGCTGATCCGAAGTCAGGAGCCAGGAACCTCTTCTGGGTCTCCCGGAAGAGGGTTCAGGGTTCAGGGTGAGGGTTCAGGGTCCCAAGGTGTTGGGCCGTCCTCGACTGCTTTCCTAAGCCACAAGCAGGGAGCCGGATGGGAAGCAGGGACGCTGGGATTAGAACCAGCGCCCATATGAGATGCTGGCATGTAAAAGGCAAGGACTTTAGTCACTAGGTTACCGCGTCTACCCCACATTTGTTTTTTTTTTTTTAACTGATAGCCCGCCGTACCTAGTGCCGCCCTCAGCATTTCCCCATGACTGAGGCAGCCCTCAGTGCATAAAGGTGGACTCCCCTGGGGGCTGCCTACCTTCCTGTGCAGCTCCCCCAGCCATGTCACACTAGGCAGTGGCCGCTGTGTCCCCTCAGCTTGGACCCATTGGGGTCTTCCTCCCCCCACTCTCCACCCGTAACAGTCATGCACTGGGCTGGACCGATGCCCAGGCATTTCCTGCCCCCTCCCCAAGCAGTACAGTGAGGACAGCAAGTTCTGTCCGCGTGCAGCCGCTCAGGGTGTCTGCTTTCACCGTCCCCCAACAGGGACGTGTCACCACAGCATGCGGGACCCTCCCTGACCCAGGAGCCCTGCTGGCTTGGCCTGGACCACTGTCTCGTGCAACTTCTCCTTGGTGTCAACCACCACGCACACCTCTCAAGTACTTTTAACAACAGCCCTTTCTTGGCAAAAACAAACCACCCGTGCTAGCAATAGATGGCTTGATGACACAGTTCCTGGGGGTCCTGCTGGCCAGGTCCACTGGGACGCAGTTTGTTAGCACCCTCGGGCCAGGCAGGTGTCTTAGGTCATCCCCACCTGTGCTGCCTGCCTGGATTTCATGGTTCTGCCAGCTGACGGGTATGACCCCACTTGCTGGGCTGGCTGACATGATTCAAGAATCACTCCAGGACATCATGGACTCTTGCACACACAGAGACCAGCAGGAAAGTTGGGGTTCCCAGGGTTGGTAGGCTGCAAGTGTATTTGCAGGGCTGCTGCACAGCTGGAAAGCTGGGAGACTCAGAGGTGGGGCGGGCACAGCCAGAAGGAACACCCATGCCACAGCCGCTCTCTGTTTATGAACTTCAGGCTTCACAGCTCTCTTCTGGACGGCAGGCTCCAAGAGTCAAAGCAACCTGCTGCAGGTCCCATGCCTGGGGAGAAAGTGAGGGGGCTGCCACTGCAACCCTGATCCACCCTGACCCCAAGTTGCACGTAAGCTGCAGAGGGAGGGGAGCCGTGGGGCCACATGGCAGGTTCCCATCCCCCTGCTGTGAACTTGGGGTTCTATATTTGGAAGACTTTTCGACCTTGTTTCCTGGATTTCTTCCCTGCACTGCCCCCCGGCCCTGGGAGACGGAGTGTCCCCTGAATGGAGCTGTCCGGTCGGGAAACAAGCAAGCATCCTAATTAAGGGGCGTTGACCCCTAGGGCTCGCAGATTCCTTCCAGGAGGCCGCGTCCTTCCCACAGACTCGGCATGTTCGCCCCCCGTGTTTACAGAATCTTCATTAACTGAGGGTTCCTCCAGATAAGAAGGCTCTGAGCAAGGCAGCAGCTACAAGCAGGGGACAGTTGGGGAGCAGAGGGCTGGCCGCGGCACTCCCCGCACTACACTCAGCGGCAGGATGTGGGCCCACTCCTCCCAGGCGGTTCCTGGCACCCGCTAACATCCTGCAGCAGCCCCTCGCACCCTCTCCTCCAAGATGGGCCCAGGGCTGCTGTGGATGCTCCTGCCTGTACTGTCCCTGCTGGCCTGCTTGGGGCAGGGGAAGCCACTGCAGAACTGGGGTCGGGCATCAGTGGGGGCGAACGCCCGTGCCTCGCTTGGGGAGCCTCGCATGGGGCCTCAGGAGCCCAGGAGCGCCCTGGACTTGAGCATGTTCCTGGAGAACGTAAAGGTGGATTTTCTGCGCAGCCTCAACCTGAGTGGGGTCCCCGCCCAGGACAGAACCAGGCTGGAGCCGCCGCAGTACATGATTGATCTGTACAACAGGTACACCTCGGACAAGTCGTCCACCCCCGCCTCCAACATTGTACGCAGCTTCAGCGTGGAAGGTAGGGTCGGGTTGCACTGTGGGGGATGGGGTCCCCAGGTCTATAGGGTGGGGGGAACTGCCTGGCTAGGCAGTTATGGGCCACATGTCATCAAAATTCATGGCCACAAAATGAGATGAAAACATGGCCTTTGCATTCCCCTCCGCCCCCCACCCCAGCTTCAAAAGTGCTCGTGGGCGGCTCTATTGGGTAGAGCTCACTTCCCTGGGCCACACTATACACAGACGGTGTTCCAGAATGCCAGTGTGCCATGTCCATCCTTGCCCTGTGCTTCCCCTCCTCTTCCCTTTCCTCTCTTCCCTCCCACTCCCTCTCTACTTCAAAGCTGGTAGGTGGCTGTTTTAGTCCCCAGCTGACTGCTCTCCAAGGGGACCTCATGGTAAAGACAGACTCCACCGTTTACTTGGGGACAAGTAAAATTCAAACTTCCTGCATAGCTTTTTTTTTTTTTAACAACATGCATTTGTCCAGAGGTGAGAAGCAAGCCTCCTTGATATTTCTAAACTCTGCAAAAAAAAAAAATTCCAATCATACCTACTTTTGCCTTATGAAAGGACTTTGCAAACACAGACAAAATCTTGTGATGGGAAAGCCTTGAGGAGTGTCTAGTTACCATGTGATGGTGAAGGGCTAGGGACAAGCCCTCGTGGTGGACTCCGGTGAAGTGTTTCTGAGCGCTGAAGCTTGCAGCCGCTAGGGGGAGCTCGCCCTGCTCACCAAGCCTTCAAGGTTCCATGGCCGGATTCTGCTGGCATTTCCCTCTGCTTCAGCCCCTGGCTGAAAGGTCTGGAGCACAAACCTTTCTCCTCCAGGGGTCTCAGACCTGCAGCTACCTGCGGAGTCCCCAGGCCAGACCTCCTTCCCCAGGCAGCAGAGCATGAACTGGAGACCAGGATGCAATGCCGGCACAACTGCCTGCCTTCCTGCAGTGCGGGAGAAAAGTCTGGCTCCTCTGAGAACCAACAAATTCCGTTGTAACCCAACAAAGAGCTTCACTCTGGGAGATCTGCAGGTGCTTGGGCAGTGGGCATGCTCTGGCAGCTGCTGACTGGACCCCAGCCTGCCAGGGAGGCCCGGGAAGGTGGGCGTTGGTGCAGGCAGGGAGTCTGTACAGGTGGGAAGATGTGGGGAATCCCAGAAGTCTTGACTACTCTGAGCCTGGTCAAGACCACTTGGTCTAAGCCTCAACCTGACGCTGGGAGGCAGGGAGGATGAGGACCATTTTACAGATGCGGAAAATGGAGTCACAGAGAGACTCAGGACTCTCCAGGGTCACCAGCCTAAAAGGGGGGCAGAGTCTGGCCTGCTGGGTACCAGGAGAGCAGAGGGTCGGCTGCTGTTGGCGCTTAGTAGGTGCTCAAACATGCCACTTCTGTTCCTCTCTGGGAATGAGCCATGGCAAAGCAGACACGTGCTCATGGCCAACTATCAGCAGCAAACAATCTTTTAAAGAAGTGTTTAAAGATTTATTTGCTTATTTAAGACACAGTTGTGGAGAGGCAGAGATGAGAGAGAGAGAGAGAGAGAGAGAGAGAGAGAGAGAGAGAGATCCTCTGTCTCTAGCTCACTCTCCTGCAATGGCCAAGGAGGGCCAGGCCAAAGCCAGAAGCCTGGAATTCCACGCAGGTCTCCCACATGAGTGGCCGGGGCTCTAACACTTGGGCCATTCTCTGCTGCTTTCCCAGGCTCAGCAACAGGGAACTGGAATGGAAGAAGAACAGTCTGGACTTGAACTGGTGCTGCAGTGGAATGCCGGCCTCATCAGTAGAGGCCTAGCCCTTTGTGTCAGCATGCCAGCTGCTGCAAACAGGAAACTGAGGCACTGACATGGTCGGAAAGCAGTCCTGGTTTCTCCTGATGGGACCCAGCCATGAGACTGATACATATTTTCCCACCAAACACTGGAGGGGTGGGGTGAGGGAAAGAAATCGGCCGTTTTTTGCTGTGCTTGGGGTTTGTCATTCGAAAGGGTTTCTACCCCATGTGGATGGTTAACATTGACCTTCACTGTCCCCTCCGAGGCTCCTCGCTTTAGATGCACGCCTGCAGCTTCTCCCATCGGGTGCTTTGTGTGCTTGTCTTGATGTGAGAGTCCCCTTGGTTATGTACATGTGGCCAGGGAGATGCCTTTAAGCCTCATCTGTGAGTGGCCACTAGTCCTTAGGTTGTCCTGTGTGTTTGCATTTCAGATGCCATCTCCGTAGCCTCCACGGACGGCTTCACCTTCCAGAGACACACCTTGCTGTTCAACATCTCCATCCCCAGACACGAGCAGATCACCAGGGCCGAGCTCCGGCTCTACGTCTCCTGCCAAAGTCACGTGGATGCTGCTCACGCACTGGAAGGAAGCCTGGTTATCTATGACGTCTTGGATGCCTGGGATGGCAACTCAGGGACCAAGAGCTTCCTGGTGTCCCAGGACATTCGAGACGAGGGCTGGGAGACTCTGGAGGTGTCCAGCGCCGTGAAGCGGTGGGTCAGGGCAGACGCCAACAAGAGCAAGAACAAGCTGGAGGTGATGGTGGAGAGCCGCAGGAAGGGCTGCGACAAGCTGGACGTCAGCGTGCCCCCGGCCTCCGAGAACCTGCCCTTCTTCGTCGTCTTCTCCAACGACCGCAGCAATGGCACCAAGGAGACGAGGCTGGAGCTCAGAGAGATGATTGGCCACGAGCAGGATAGCGTGCTGAGGAAGCTTTCCAAGAGCACCGATGGTCATGGGGATGAAGAAGAGGAAGAGGAGGTGGATACGGTCAGCCACGCGGGGTCATCCCTGGCCAGGCGGAAGCGGAGCGCCGGGGCCAGCAGCCACTGCCAGAAAACCTCCCTGCGGGTGAACTTCGAGGACATCGGCTGGGACAGCTGGATCATCGCACCCAAGGAGTATGATGCCTACGAATGCCAAGGGGGTTGCTTTTTCCCCCTGGCCGATGACGTGACACCCACCAAACATGCCATCGTGCAGACCCTTGTACACCTCAAGTTCCCCACGAAGGTGGGCAAAGCCTGTTGTGTGCCCACCAAACTCAGCCCCATTTCCATCCTCTACAAGGACGACATGGGGGTGCCCACCCTCAAATACCACTATGAAGGCATGAGCGTGGCAGAGTGTGGCTGCAGGTAGTAGCTGCCTGTGGGGGACAGGAGTTGGGGCTCCAGAAGGGGGAGCTTGGAGCCTGCCTCCCTCTCATGCCCCAACCCCACCCCAGGGTGCTTACCTGTCCAGGAAGATGTGAGGATGGAATGAGAGGGGGGGCAGACAGAACACCTGGCAGGGCTGGTACATCAAAAGAGGAACAATTGGAAAGTGGACAGGTGGCAAAAGGATTCAGTCAGCAGCAATGGGTGGGAGATGGGGGAGATGGGCAGGGATCTATGGGAATTACAGGGGCCCAGGAGAGAATCGAACAGGCATGATGCCCGTTGTTGCGTCAGGCTAGCTATCACCATCCGGCATGTTGGATATGTTGACCTCCAGTCTGTATACACAGAATCCAGGTGCCAGCTTGGAGAGCACCTGCCAGGGGCAGGATTCCCATGCAAGTGGATGGTGGGAAGCCTGGCTGGGCTGGGCCCTGGTCAGCACACACTAGAATGACTGCAAAGGCCTTTTATGTCTAGGGTCCAGCCTGTCCATTTGGGGCCTGTGACTATATGCTTTTTAATATCACCCCTGAGTCCCATTGCCCCCAGACTGCCCCAGCAGCAAGTAGAGAGGGAGAGAGAGAGAGGGGGAGAGAGAGAGAGAGAGAGAACGAGTGACGAGTGAGCTGGTCAGCAGCCCTCTCCCGTGTACTGTGGCTGAGCTTCTTTGCCCCCTGGTGCCATTGTCAGGAGTACCTGCTACCCCCTGGACTCAGATTCTGGTAGCCTGCAACAGGTGGACACATTCGGCTAGCATCTTGGCAGCCCCTGGTCACCTGCTCCTGCTCACAGGGCACCCTGTGGAACCCCAGCATGAGGGCTCCCTTGAGAGAGTCGGAACAGAGATGTGAATTTGTTGGAATTAAAAGTGCTGTTGCTTGGGCATTAGGAACGTCACTGCCTCTCCTCCTTGGCATCCTGGATTCATGTGATTGGTATCTAGCCTGCCTGGGAGAGGGACCGCAAGAACTCCCATCTTGTCTGTAGCCACAAGCTTCGCCCATACCTGCCTGCTCTCCTTAAGGATCCCAGACTCTTCGCCTTCCCTGACTTATTCCCCTGGTCATACACAGGACAAAGCAGTATGAGGAAGGGTCTGAAATGCCAGGCAGGGCCTGGAAGATGAAGTTTTGGCATCTGGCCACTCCCACCGGTAGATTGTGTTTGCATGAAACCAAGAGACACCCTTAGTGCAAGAACACCATGAAGTGTCGCTATGTAGTAACTGGACTTATTTAGTTACTTCCTGGCCCTGCACTGCTGCAGCTGCATGACAGTGTCACTTGGAAATAAACTCAAGTGTCTGAGCAATGCCTTTTCTGATTGAGCGGCCAGGGTCACTCCAGCCTTGCATGCCTGCGCAGCCGTCCTGAACTGAAGTGGTGGGTCGGGGCAGGCAGCATCTGCATGGGTGTGCCCATCCCTGGCTGGGGCCTGCCCCTGCGGGTGTGAGCACCTGCAGAATGGCAGCTGTCTGTGTGTCTTTCCACCCCAGGCGGGGGCAGGGAGACCCCATGGGTCCTCTCCACTCAGCGTCCCTGTAGCACTCTCCCAATGTCTTTGCAGTGCCACCCAACTCCAACCCACATCTCTGGCCTTGTGTACCCTAAACCTGCCCACCCTCAGGTCCGCAGGCAAGTACCACCTTCCCCCAAGGGAAGACCCGGTGCCATCGCCTGCCACACCCTGCTCCCCCATAGCTCCATTCTACCCTTCCTGAATTCCAGGCAGCCGAGCCTCATGCGAGCAGGTACAGGGAGTTGAATGCAGACAAAGCTGTGAGCCCTTAGCTCAGTCCCTCATTCAGAGAGGATGGACACGGCCTGTGGTTCATTCCCCAAATGGTCACAACAACTGACTCTCAGCCAGGCTAAAGCTGGGAGCCTGGAACTCCATCCAGGTCTGTCACGTGGACTGAGGGGCACAAGCAGTTGGACCATCCTCTGCTACTTTCCCTGCATTAGCAAGGAGCTGGATGGGAAGTGGAACAGTCAGAACTCACACTGGTACCCACATGGGATGCTGGTGCCATAGGCAGAGGCACTCTACCATTAGACACTCAGTACCTGACACACTTATGGGGTGGGTGGTCACCAGCCAGGAAGTTCCAGGTTAACACTGGCCGCACCGGCCTTGGCAGCCAGGGCATCCCAGCTGACACAGCCTGGTTGTGGTGATCTATGAACAGACATGTAGCTTCTAAACCTTCCCTTCTAAACCTGGTCTCCAGGTGGGTGGTGGAGTGACTGGAGCGGGGAGAGGAGGGCATGCCAGTTCACTAGCAGTCTGGGTGAGGAACCAGTGCCTGCTGCTCTGCCAACCAGGGAACTTGCTGATGACAGCAGCTCCCCTCCTCCGAATACACATGTGAGTACCCCTCATGCCACATCCCTGGGTGCCTTCCTCCCCAGACTAGGTATGAGCCCTGGGAGGAGTGGGGATGGGGGGAGCTTCCCATCCTGCTCTCCCCACCCCCAGAAACCCAGTAGTGAGCACTTAAGGAACTTGCAGGCATCCAAGGAGATCCACGAGGTCCCACTCGAGATGCCAGGAAGAGGATGGTAAAAGCACGGGACACACCGTCTTGATGCAAAATGGAAAGGGGGTGGTTGGATAAGAAGAGCTTGTGAGGGAGGAAGGGGGTGGGGAGAAGAAGGAGTGAAGATACAGAAGAAATGATTTGGCATCAAACCAAGCCACAAGACTCAGGGTACCCTTGGCTGTTCCTTTGTAGCCTGACATGTTCCCTCAAAGAACTGGGCATGGTAACCTGGCTCAGGAAGCTGACAGGCTAACCACAGTGCCTTCCAAGGGACACTTCAGTCCCACGTCCAGATCCCGTGGGAATGAAGAGGTGAATCTTTGGGAAGAAGAGTGTCATGGAGAGGAGGAGCTGCAGGGAAGGGAGGTGACTGTCGCCATCCTGAAACCCATCCCCTTACCCCAGAGCAGCTGCTCATGCCGGGGTCCTGTTGCGGGGGGCACTCTAGGACCTCTCTCCCTGAGGGGTCACTCAGCTTCTAGACCCTGTAGGGGGACAGAGAAGTGGGGATCGGCTCCCAGCCTCCTGCCTTCGGGCAGCCTAGAAACAAGAGACCCCGAAAGTACAGTTCTTTGACTCCACAGCCAGACTGACTGAGCTGTGATGTGAACTCCACAGGTGCCCGCAGGGTAGGGACCAGCACCCAGCCCCTGCCTGTGTCTCCCACCCAGCCTGGTTTCAGGAGCCATATGCTTAAGCAGACTCCTGGGCTGCTTCGCTCCTCTTGAATATCCTAGCTGGCTGGCAGCTTCGCAGTGACCTCTGTGGACAGCCCGGACCATGCCAGCCTGGTTGTGATGCACCTGCTTCAGACTCTTCTTCAGAAACACTGGATGAGAAGTGCTTCAGGCTCTGTGGCAGATGGGCCATGTAGATGGCACGGGGGCAAGTCAGGAAGCAGCCGAGGGGAGGAGGGCTGGACAAGGAAACCCCATCCCCTCAAGCCACATCTGGACCACCAGCGACCTCAGGCTGCTCATGTTGTGTCCTCGGCTTGAAGGACCCCGTGTAAGAGATCTCTGCCCAGGCAGCCTCAGGTGTTCCTTTAAATGCTTCAGACAGACACTGCCCCATCAACAGGTGTCCCCTCTGGGGTTAGCGAGGCGAGGGGACCCCAGCAAGCTGCAGTGTCTGCCTGGGGCCATGTCCTGCCTGGGCACCAGTCTTGGACAACCTGGATGGGGAGGACCCAAAGGCACAGGATCCTCCCTCCCCCTGGTGTCTGGAGCTTGGCATGAGCTCAGGAGGGTAAGAGGCATCCAGCCGCTTCTGGGTGTGGGAGCAGCAGTGGGAGAACCTTGGGTATTTTGGAAGAATGGGTAATAGATTTTCAAGATACCCTTGTGTCTTCAATTTATTAGCTCTCCGCAAAAACACGCCCCATCCACCATCTACGGCATAGACAGTATAATTTATAAAAATAGAAAATCTTGGTTACTTTTTAGTAGGCGCATCTCCTCCAGACGCAAATAATCAACCACTCCTACCAGCCACGATTCTTTGTGGAGAGGGATGTCAGCTTCCCCTCCTTTTGGCTTTAGAATAAAAATAAAGATTAGAAAAAGGGAACCACTATGGGCTACAGGGGCGTGCTGCATGTATAGGAGCTCACGCAGCAGGGTCGGCAGGAAGGCACCCACGTGAAGCACAGTGGGGACCCCCCACCCCGTGTCCCCAGTCACTGGGCAGTGGCCTCAAGTGGCCATCACGCAGAGCGACTCCCACGGAGAAGGAAGCAAGCAGATCCTCTTCCCAGTGTGGTGAGCGGAGCACAGCAGCACCATGGGGACACGGCCCATATGGGACAGGATGGCAGGCAGCCCCCTGCCCAGGCAGGCCTCTCACCGGGGCTGCCCTGTGCCCTGCGGCTGCATCCCCCAGCCAGGTCCTGGCCCTGAAATCAGGCCGCTGCAGTCCTGGGTTCGTCAGCGGCAGGCGCAGGTCTCCACGGCCATGTTGGGGTACACCTTCAGAACCACGTTCCGATTCTCATCCAGGAAAAGGACCCCCAGGGAGCTCATCTTGTCGGGGACACAGCAGGGTTCTGGCACGCCGGGCACGATGCCCACAGCCCTGACGATGCTCTGGATGGTGGCATGGTTGGACGGACGAACGACCTGCAAGGCAGAGGGAGATGGCAGGGTTATTTCAGCTGTCTGCCCTCTCCCACTCACTCCCTATAGCCGGCGGGGAACCTGCTCTGCATTGCCTCTGCCTCTGTTCCAGGTCTGGGCGAGGTCACTAAACTACCCTCTCTTCTGGCTTTCCCAGGATCGCACGACTGTTACCCAGGGTTGGCCACTCGGGGGCGCCCGCGTACTGCACACGGCAGGGCGCGCCTGGACCTGAGCAGGGGAAGGAGGGACTGAGCCGTGTGGGTGACCGCCCCCCTGGAAGCTGACAGTTCAGAGGTGTTTCTACCTTGTAGCGTCCCGAGTCTCCGTCATACCAACTCCAGGGGGGTCCGCATGACCGTCATTTTATCACTGAGGACACCAAGGCTTGAACTAAGTAGGGGCAGATGTCTGGCTCAGCAGGGGCCCTCGCACACTGTGGGAGGCAGGTGGCAGGTGTGGGCTCAAGTTCCTGGGTTCCTGCCACCCACCTGTGAGATCTGCATGGAATGGCTGGCTTCACAGCCTCTGGGGCTGGGGGCTGGGGGTGAATTAGCAGCCGGGAGGTTTCTCTCTGCGTCTCCGATGAGACAAGCAGAGAAATAGGCAATGGAAAAAGCCCTCCCCGCGATTGCTCAATTAAGGCAGGTGCTTGGGTCGCAGACCTAGCCTGCTGCTGACAAGCAGCTGGAGTTAGCCATGGCTAGCTTTCAGCACCATACAGGGAGTAGGGAGAACCTGGAGGTGTCTGTGTGAGTGACCGTGGGGGACAGCAGGGCCACCCACACCTACACAGCTCTGGCTGGTGGCCAGCCAGCTGTTAAGATGCACCCCGGGGTCAGCCAGCTGAGAGCCAGATGTCACAGCAGATCTGGCCTCTCTGTGAGCTGTCCTGCAACACACAAGCAGGTGCATCGGCCTCCCTCGTGTGTCCTGGGGCCGGTTCTCTCCCTGCCGGCCAATTTATTTATGTCCACATTGGATTTATGCAGCACTTCCTTTTCAGGAAGGCAAGGCAGTACCTGGCTTCAGATCAGCCAAGCAGGGAGGAAACGGGGACATGGAGGGCCGCCAGCCCGCTGTGGCCCAGACCACAGGGAGAGGAACGAATGGAGTCTGGAAAGAGGAGGAGGATCCGACAGCCATGCATAAGGCAGCCCTGCGTGCTGTGTGTGGCTTGCCGAATCTTAAGTCGTGGCCCGTGAGTCCCAGCCTTGAGCTGGATGGTGAAGTCGGTGCAACTCAGCCAGTCCGTGTGCTGCCTGGCCAGCTCGGCCTATCAGCCCTCTGCCTGGAGCAGACACAGGGCATTATTTGCTCCCATTTCACAGGTGAGGCGATCGAGGCCGCGAGGGCCAGAATCAGAGCACTCCTTCCCCTCCCCACCTCCGCCACCACTGCAAGCGCTACCTTGGGCATGGGGAACTCGCAGGCGCCAGCACAGTAGTAGGCGTCGAAGGCTTTGGGAGAGATGATCCAACCATTCCAACCGATGTCGGCGAAGTCCACCTTCAGGTACCTCCGCGAGCACACGCGGGGTTCGTCCCACTGCCTCCTGCGGGCTTTCTGCATCGTTTTCTCATCGAAGTCCAGCACCTGCGAGGCTGCTGCGAGCAGCTCCTGGCCCTTCCTACGGCGTTCCTTGCGTCCCGGCCGCGGCTTCAGCGCCCGAAACGGGCTGGGCCACAGCTCGTGCTTGTGGTAGTCCGGGCCGGAGTGCGCTGGGGAGCGCCTTTCGTCCAACCCCGGCAGCTCGTTGTCCTGCAGGGGCCCTAGGGCCTGTGCGGAGGAGGAGGGGGCGGCAGCCCTGCGCACGCGGGGGTCCGCCGAGCTGTTGGGGGCCGCCCGGGGCTCGGGCTCTCCGGCTGGGAAGGGATCATATCTCTGCAGCGTCACGGCCACACTGTTGGGCTCCGAGATGGCCAGGTCGTTGGCGTAGATGAGGATATAGGGCGCGTGCGCGCTGGGGGGCCTGGGGCTCCCCGGGCTCCTGTCCCCTGCGGCTGGGGCGGCATCGAGCTGTGCGGACAGCAACAGCTCGCCGTCCCTGCGCGCCGCCTTGACGATGGGCGAGATGTCCCTGGCCTGCCACAGGCCGCGCGGTGGCAGAGCCAGGGCCAGGGCCCCGCGGAGCAGCCCTTGCGTGGCAGAGTTCTGTGGGAGGCTGCGGAAGAGCAGGTGCAGGCGCCCCGGCGGGCCGGGGGCCTGAGGGCGGCAGGACGTACCCTGGGCTCGGGCAGGTGGGCAGGGAGCCCCGCGTGCCTGGGGCCACCGCCGTGGCGGCTCCAAATAGAAGTGGAAGGTGGCCGTGAGAATCATTTCCGAATCCTGCACCGACGTCAGGTTGAAGAGGTACACGGCCTTCTGGTCGACCACCTCTGTAAGGGGGAGGACACAGCTCAGCTGGGGTGGGCGTCTTCCAGGGGTCTGCTTCCTGCTTCCTGGGTCCCCATCCAGGGTCCCCAGGGCTGGGAGTCCAGGACACACCCCAGCCTGGTGCTGGGCACCTTCAGTGCTCACGCCCTTCGGTGTCCTCAGTGAACACACTGGACATCAGGGACTGGTAAAGTCCCACTGTGGAGGGGAAGCAGGGGGGGCGAACGGAGAGGGAAGAGGAGGAAGAGATGGAGGAAAGGGAGGCAGGTGAAGGGAAGGGAAGGAGAAAGAAGGAAGGGAGGGGAAATGGAGGGAGAGGGAAGGAAGAGATGGGAAAGAGGGCAAAAGAAGGAAGCGGGAAGAAGGGAGGAGAAGGGAGGAGAAAGGAGAGGGGAAGGGAAAGAGAGAGAGGCCAGAAGGGAGAAGAAGGGGGAGGGAGGGTGGGACACAGCAGGTCTTTAGCACCTGCTCTGCCCCCTGTAGTTGTCTGCCTGTTACTGGACACATGGCCAGGGCCCCTGCCTTAGGTGCCAGGGTGGTCTGGTCAGGCTGGGTGCCAGTCCTGATTCTAAGCAGCCCCTGTGACCCACACTTCTATCCTATTTCTAGAGGCTAGGTTTGTCAATGGTTGAATGCCATCATGGGCATGACACATAAGATTCTCCCAGATACAGTGCAATAGAGCAGTCCCCTGCACTTGCCTCGGAGCGCCCACCAAGAGATGCTAGGGCAGAGTGGTCTGTCCTGCCTGGGACCCCCTCAACCAACACACCTGCAGGGTGTGGTTCAGGCAGGCTGCAGCCTCTGCTTCCCCCCACCGCCGGCTGGACAGCCCCCTTCCCAGAGGCTCCACAGTCCCAGCACTGCCCAGCATGGGCATGGGCTCTCGGCCATGGCCACATCCTTTCTGGGATTCGTGGGGTTGGAACAGGAGTCTTCACTGGTGCCCCCTCTGATGTTGCAGACTGGCAGGAGATAGGAGTGGTGGGGGGGCAGCCCTCCCTCCCATTGCCCCCTGTTACCTCCACCCATGGTAGAACCCCAAAAAGAGAGCTCTCAGCCTGGAGGGGAGTGTGCATGTGTGAGACAGCATGCGTGTGTGTGTGTGTGTGTGTGTATGTGCCAGACGCTGGGCTTCCCACGGCATGTGGGTTGGAGTTGCACCTCTGACCCCTGTATCCACCACATCAGCTGGGATTTTTTTTTCCACCCAAACCTTCGGTTCTAAGTTCTTTGCTTCTATGGGAAGAGAAGGCAAGAGTCACCCAGGGGTTCTCCCCTACTCCTAAGGGACCGTGGGCAGCATAAAGGAGGGAAACGGAAGCACCTCTGTGGGGGTCACAGCTCCAGTAACACTCTTCCATGTAACCTTATCCTCAGGACACGCCCACTAGGGAGGCAACGAGTCCCTCAGTGGGAGCCCAGGGCCCTGAGGCACACTTGCATACCGGGCCTGGGGGCATCATGAGCTTGGGTCCCTATTTCAACCAGACCTCATGGGTTGTGACCATCAGCGCAGTTTGGAAAGTAGTGGTATTGGACGCCGGCACCCAGCTGGCACAGCAGAGGCAAGTGTGTCCTTCAAATAGCTCATGTGCCAGCCAGCTCCTGGGGTTGATCTCTCAACAGGCTCGAGTGGGAGGGCGCCTCAAGAGTCATGAGAGAGGTGGCTTAGCTGTCTGCGCAGAGCCCTCACGCTTTCTTAAAATAAAAATCTACAAAGCTCCCACTCCAAGCACAGGGCCACTGGGGACCAAGCAGCAGTGATCAACGGAGACACAGCCTAACAAGGAGCCCAGTGATACTGACAAGGTCCATCGACACTGTCCCTGTCACACCACACCTTCACATAGTCCAGGTGGTGCCCAGAGTGCTGGGTGCAGCCAACCACAGGCCACCTCCAGCTCAGAGCCCTCCACTGACACTGAACATAAATGTCATCTTTTCCCAGTGGGCAGTGCCATCTGTGCTGCCTGCACCTCTCCTTCATCCCCAGCACAGTGCTGTCCCTCTGCCATGGCCACATTCGTCTGTCTATGTTTGTATACACCTGACACACACACAGCCTGAAGGCGAGTTTATACAATGTTTCGGGTGTGTCTGGGTTCTAACTGGGGCACATCACCTGAAGCCCCGGTGTGGCATTTTCCTATTTTGGGGAATGGGGAGGCACTGAAGGAACTATGGGTTTTATAACATTTGTGATGTGGGATTTCCCAAGTAGGATGCACAGCCTGTTGTCCAGTAATGGAGCTTTGAGTTCCAGGATTGTGTCTGCACCTGCTGCTGGACATTCTGCAAGCCCAATTCTTCATTTCACAGTGAATAGGCAAGGGACTTTGAAGACAAGAGAGGCTCCAGGTCACACAGCAGGTTGGAAGTGGAGGCGGGCCCGGCTGAGCCTCAGACCGAGCTCTTTGACCCTACGCACTTTGGCTGTGAACTGGGTGTCCTTAAGAACAAATGGACAGAATATGCAGTGCCCTGTGGTTTGCAAGTGCATGTCAATTTTGAGATGCTTCTGGGCTCCAGCTCTCCAGGAAAGGAGGCATGGAACTTCTTCAGACAGGCAGCTCTCCTTGTGTATCCCTGCAATTCCCACTAACTGACCATCTGCTGGGCGCTCAGCCTCCTTCTGAGGGCACTGCAGTGGGGGGAAGGACCTCCTAGGCTACACCCCAGGCTCTCTGCTGGCCAAGCCTCAGCCAAGAGCAGCTCCCTCAGATAGCTCTGCCATTTATATATTTACTTATTTTAAAAAGATACATGTATTTGAAAGCCAGAGAGAGAATCTTCCATCTGCTGGTTCACTCTCCAGATGGCTGCAATAGCAAGGGCTGGGCAGACTGAAACCAGGAACCAAGAACTCTATCCAGGTCTCCCATGTGGGTGGCAGGAGCCCAAGTATTGGACCATCTCCTGCTGTTTTCCTTGGTGCAGTAACAGGAAACTGGACAAGAAGTGGAGCAGCTGGGATTTGGACCGGCAGCACTCCAATATGGCATTCTGGCATCCCAAGGCACACCTTGGCCTGCTTTGGCCCATGTGCCCCAGCTCTGCTATTTATAAAGCTATCTGTTTATATTTATTTATAAAGCTAAGCCACCTGCAGAGCAGTATCTTCATCAATTTCCCCTGACATGGCCACCACAGTGACTGATAGGCAGAGGAGCCGGGGGCAGCCAGTGGTGGACCAGCCAGGGTGGCCATGAAGAACAGTACACATCTGACATGTCCCAAATATTGGCTTCCGAGCAGACTCTAGGGCTGGGCTGAACGCCTGCGTGCATCGCTGACTTGCTGTGGGGCTTCAGGTGATTTATGAGAACCTCTCTGTGCTTCAGTTCCTCGTCTGGAAATGGGTATCTGTATGTACCTGCTCGAGTTGTGAGTGCAGCTCTGCAGTTCTGGCTCACGGCACGATGCCTAGCGCCCAGGGCAGGTGGAGGACACGGTGGTCAGGCAGCTGCAGCAGCCAGCACCACCTCCAGGACACACCACCGCTCCCTGGACTCCAGCCCCAAGGGGACGTCACTATCCCTCCTATTCCAGGGGACTGCCCTCCCTCTTCTCCTCCGTCCCTTCTTGCTTCTATCCAATCCCCAGTCCCTGTTGGTTTTGCTGCCTGTGTCTGCACAGCAACCCCAAATGCCAGAAGCTTCGTCGAGGAGTTGACCTCCATGACCACAGGAACCTCAGAACTCTGACACCTTCTTATGTCACCTCCATGCTTCAAAACTGCATCATCCAGGGACCAGCGCTAAGCCACCACTTGTGAGCCCACCATCCCAGAGTGCTGGTTTGAGTACTAGCTGCTCTGTCAGTGCACCCAGCTCCACTGCACCTGGGAAAGATGCAGAAGACGACTCAAGACAGTCCCTGCACCCATGTGAGAGACCTGGATGGAGTCCCGGGCTCCTGGCTCAGGCCTGGCCCAGTGTTGGCTGTTGTGGCCCTTTGGAGACTAAATCAGCAGATGCAAGCTCTCTCCGTCTTTCAAATAAGAAAACTTTTAAAAAGCCAATCACTTATTAGACATGAAATATTAATATCTTTCCTATGTAAAGAGTTTCTGTAAATCAGCAAGAAAAAAAGACAAGCATTGAAGACAAGTAGTAGTGCTTGTGGGAAAACAACAAAAGGCCCACAGGCATGGCAAACAGCTCAGGAAGGCCAGTAATGGGAAGAGGCAATATCTAATGAGATCAGCCATGGGTCTGCCTGAATGCTTTGAGAATCTGATTGCACTCAGATGAAATCTAGATAGGTGAAGAACACACATTTTTATATATTATGGCTGCAGTGATGCCACCATATTATTGTAAGAGGATACTCAGTAATTTCTTGGAAAACAGGATTTCAGATTTTGATGAAAGGAGACCAGGGTGTGTGGCAGAGTGCATGAAGCCGTCCCCTGTGTCATTGCTACTGGCTCAAGTCTGAGCTGTTCCACTTTCCATCCATCTTCTTGTTAAAATGCCTGGAAAGGCAGCAGAAGACAGACAAAGTGCTTGGGCCCCCATCAGCCACGTGGGAGACCAGGATTCCATTCTTGCTCCTGGCTTCATTCTGGTCCAGCACTGGCTATTGTGGTCATTTGAGAAGTGAACCTGCAGATGGAGGATTTTAATTTCTTTTCTTTCTCTCTTTGCCTTTCAAATCAATATCTCTTGAAAGAGAAGACAGATTTTGGTACCAAATCTATGCATGTAAAGAATCTTCTAAAAGTCCATGGAAAATGTGTATTATGGAAAACCTAGGGATTTCAAAGTGTTGTGCAACAAGGCTGACTTCTCTTCTGACTGTCACCAACTCACTTCCCTCTGGTTGCAGCTGAGTGTGTAGTTAGAGATGCTATTCTTTGCTGCAGTCTTCTCTGGCTTCAGATGATCCTGGACACTCATGCATTTCCTGCACCACTTTTCGATTCCCCCTCCTTGCCGTCTGTCAAATGCATGCCCAGCAGATGTTGCCTTACTGTCCGCTCCAAGGCCTGCACGCAACCTGCTCACCCATGTCTATCCCCCACCTCTCTCCCTTCATACTAGCTCCTCACCAGAGCCAGACTCCTGGCAGTTCCCCATGCACCATGGGCTGCCTCATGTTTACACCTGGCAATGCTGTACCTGCCCTTTAAGTCTCCCCGGGTTTCACCTACTCTGTGGCGATTTCCCTGGATCTCCCAAGGTCCACGGCGCCATGAGCCCACAAGCCCTTTTTCCTCTGCCTGCTTTTTTCAGCCTTGTCACACCTCCCACGAGCTATCCCGGGCAAGGCCAGCACCTTGGGCACAGCTGTGTCCTCCAGCTCATAGCACCAGCCACCACCAGCAAGGTGCTTAGAGAAGAGCTAGGAGCTGAGATGTACCTGACTATGGCCGTAGTGTTGCTCACATTAGTGACGATGAACTAAGCTCAGGATCACGCTGGCAAGTGGCTAGGCTTCAGGCTGAACACAGGTCATTCTGTGGGAGCTGAGGAGTGAACGGTCCAACCCAGCCCCAGCGGGTTAGACTCAAGGGCTCACTCTCCACTGATGTAGATTTAGCAGGGGACAGAAGGCTCAGCTTCTAGAAGCAGTGGGGAGGAGGGAGGGAGGGCTGAGGGGACCGCACGGTCAGAGCTAGCACACTGTTGACATTTAGGTGTGCCAGGAATGGTTTTAAGCACTTGACGTGTCTCGGTTTATTTTACAAAAATCTCCATCAGGAAGGGAGCAGTGGGAGCCCCATTTCACAAGTGAAAAAAAATCCAAAGTCACGGCCAAGTACAGCTCTCCACCTTGGTTGCAGAATCGGCTCTGGAGCCTGCCGTCTGACTCACGGGCTGCACCGGGGACCTGGCTTCATGGCAGGCAACAGATGCAGCACCAAGCGTCCCTGTGATAGATATGTTTATCTTTGGGGGAGAGGTGTCACCCACTGAGGCAGCAGACAACCAGTCCAGACCAGAGCTGCAGCCCCACACCAGTGGTCCCATTCATGAGACCAGGGGAGCTCTGCTCAGGCTCCTGCCTCATTTCAGGCAGGTCACCAGACCAAGAAACAGGCACAGAGCAGACATGTTGGTTCGGGGGTTGAGCCATCAAACAGGAGCATGGGTTCAAGTCCCAGGTTTTCCACTTCCAATCCAACTCTCTGTGAACACGCCTGGGAAGACAGCAGGTAATGGCCCTAATGCTTGGGCCCCTGTCACTCACGTGGCCAACCTGGATGGGGCTATGGCTTTGCTCTGACCTGGTCCTGGTTGGTGTAGGCATTTGGGGGCAGTGAACCAGTGGATGGGAGATCTCTCTTTTTGTCTCTGTCTCTTCTGCTTCTGTCATTTTGCCTCTCAACTCTTGCGGCAATAAAGAAATCTTAACAGAACAAAACCTGTAGGCACACTGCACATTGGGACAGAGTAAGAAAGCAACCCCTGGCCCTACACTAAGCATAAAACCCACCTTATTCCCTGGAGTTCTCACCTCCTCCCGGCACCCACAAGGACATGGAGGCTCAGAGATCTGCAGTGTATAGCCCAGCACATAGCCAGTAGCTGGGGAAGCTGGGCTTCGTGCCCACATTCATCTCCGCATTCCAAAAAAAAAAAAAAAAAAAAAAGGAGACATTTGTCAGACAGTTCCAGATTGTTCTAGAATTCTGACTTCCTTAGCTCTCTGCTCCCCTCGACCTCTACCAGGGCCTGGGCATCACTGTGATGGGGATGAGAGAGTGTAAGAATGGCTTTGCCACGGCCCTTGTGCAGGAGGCTCAGTAACCGCACCAGAGGTGTGCAATGTGAGATCCTGTATCCTGGACCTTGTGAGGGACAACACCCCAAACGCTACCCCAGTCGACAAAATGAAGACAGAATCACCTCCCGCCACAGCCAGGCTGCAGCCAGAGGCTGGGCCAAGGGATGCTCATCCCGGTGGCTGCAGGAAGAACCTTGCCAACTTCGCGTCTCCTCTGCAACCACAAGGCTTCTGGAGACTGAGATAATGGGTGGGTGAGCAAGGTCAATGTTCAACCCCTGGCAGCCCTGAGTGTTGAGCCCAAGGCTCTGTCCTCGCCCAGGGAACATCCCCACGGGACAGAGGAGTGCTTGGAGCACTTCGGCACAGATGCTTCGGTAGTGGTTCCACTCCACACTCCTGCTCTGGGAACGGACCCCAGTGGAAGCTGAGAGGGAGCAGGAAAAACACTGCTTGCTAGATGCGTTGGCCTGCAGCCAAGGGACAAGGAGCCAACAAGTCTGCCCCATGGGGGCTCAGGGCTTGCAGCCCTTCTGTGGCAGGTGCTTCGCGCCCACAGCCATGGGAGACCCAACTGCCCACATCGGATGCTGCCCTGATGCCCCCTTAGTTCTGTTAGCAGCTGATAAGAGGTCTGACCCCAGACTGTCTGACCCCCAAAGCTGGTCTTGCTCCTCTCCAACTCCCGGAAGCATGAAGACAGAGGCTTTTTCCCGATGAATGGCCTCCTCCTCCTGCCCCAAGCAGGCTGCAGAGGACCCCCACCCACACTTTCTGGAACCACATTCTGCAGCCTTGCACGGTCACCATGACGACGAGGGGCTTCCTACCACCCATGCAACCCAGGCTGCGCCTTCAACTCTGTCCACCCCCAGGGCCTGCTGGGATAGCTGGCCTCCGTTTCTCCACAAGTGGCCTGTGCCTAGCTCCTGTCCCACACCAGAAAGGAGTGGGTGCTACACCCACAGCCCAAGCTGCTGGACCCTGCCTCAAACCCTCGAAGCCTGAATGGCTTCACATTCACTCTCCTGTACCCTAGATTCTCTGTGCTTCCCTTGCCACAGTCATCACCACCAGGTGCTCCCCCCACCCCACCCCTCTCCTCCGGAGGCTCCTGCCTGGTGCCTGGATCCAGAGCCCACCCTTCTGCTAGGGCTGCCTGGTGCCCACCTATGGGTGCCCTCCTCAGCCAGCAAGGGCCACCACAGGCGACCCCGCCTCCACCTGCCCGGAGGGATCAGGGCACTTCCCAGCCCCAGATCCCCGTGTGGTCTGGGTGGTGTGTGTTCTCGGCAGGAATTATGTGGCTCTCAGGTGAACCTACCCACCACAGGCTCACAGCAGCCCGAATCATTAGTGAATGGAAGAATGAATGAATGAACGAGCAGAAGAAAGAGCAGATAGCAGAAGCGCCAGGATGAGGCTGGCCACTAAGGGAAGAAAAGGGCGGGGGGGACAAGGCGCCCAAAGGCTCTTTCTACTTACCCAGCCGCGCACGGAAGCTGCGGACCGTGTTGCTCCCCCCGGGCTGTACGCCCCGCCGGCTGTACTTCTCATAGAGCCGGAGCATGTGGACAGCGACCATGTCCTGCGCGCCAGGGCCCAGGGCAGCCGCTGCGTCCCCCAGGGACGGCTGGGGGTCCTTGTCCCCTGGCATGCCGGTGGCCGCGGCGGGCGCTGCGGACCAGCCAGGGGCCATGTGGCTGCCGCCCGCGTCCCGTAGCAGTAGCAGAAGCAGGGGCAACAGCGACAGCAGTTGGGGCTCTGGCTGCCTCGCACCCCTCCTAGCAGGGCCACGAGCCATGGTGGGGCGGTGGCAGCGAAGGACTGCAGCCCAGGAAGAAGAGCGCGGGCGTTCCGGAGGTGGCCGCCCAACCCCGCGACGCGAAAGCACTCGGGACAGCCGGGGGTGGAGTGGGCGCCTAGCAGGGCGCTGGGCTTTGGGTCCCAAGATCCACGCAGGATGGTCGGCAGGAAGCGCGGTGCCTCCACGCCCCTCGTGTCCCCGGCCGGGGGTCACTGCAGTTCGCAGCCCCGCGGAGCCGAATCTAGCCGAGCAGGAGCCGGCGCGCTGCCTGGGCGGACGCGCGCGGACAAAGTTTGCAGCCCACGGAGCGCCAGGCTCGGCGGGTCCGAGGGGGCGGGGCGGGGCGGGACGGGGCGGTCCGTGGTGCCCTTGGGGGTGGGGGCTGGTGTGTCCGGCTGCGCACCCCGAGATCACCGGGGGACCCGTCGATCGCCGTCTCTGGCCTGGACGCCCCGTGTGTGTCTGTGTGTGTGCTTGTCTATGGGCGCACGCCCAAGGGTGGGAGGCGCGGGAGTGAGCCTGGACCAGCGCGCTCCCCGGCCTGGAACCCGAGCCCGGGCCCCCGCGGCCGGCTCCCGTGTGTAGGCGCCGCTGTAGCAGCCCTGCCCGGGGCAGCGCGGGGGGCTGGGCAGCCTTTGGAGGGGGCCGCCTGCCGGGTTGCCCCTGTGATGGCATGCGGTGGCTGCGTGGTTGCAAGTTGACAGCTCGCCCAGGAAGACTGGGAAGGCGTGTGTGTGTGTGTGTGTGTGTGTGTGTGTGTGTGTGTGTGTACACCCAGTTGCCTCTGAGCCAGTGTGTGTCCTCCCCCTGGGCAGACAGGCTCTGTGAAGCTAGGCCCTGGCCCCACACCCAGCCAGTCCGTGAGCACAGCTCCCTGATCCGGGCTCTGAATTAGCTGGGTAAAGGGCCCTTTCTTGGGTCACCAAACACATCCAAGGCCCTTCTTACGGTGGACATGAAGACACAGGGACCGCGTGAGGAACAACCAGCTTTGCGTTTTTGAAAGTCTCCCCATCAGAGCCAGAGCAGAGATTGGGCTTTTTTTTAGGATGTGAGGGTGAAGTGCGGGTTTGACCGCCACTTGCGGCTGAGGGCTCCCGGTTGGAGTTTTCCGGTTGGCAAGGATGCAGGGACCCTGGAATCTACCATTTCAGATAAGCCCATTTTTTCATTTTTTACTTCTCTAACCTCTCAGAACAAAAGTTTAAAAACCAACGCAGCCATCATACTTTTTTTTTTTTAACTTTTTTTTATTCCTATCATCCAAGGGTTGTTCTTTCTTTGCTAAAATTCCCTTTCTGCCCTTTGCAGCGTTAACATTGCAGTACATGTCAGACCTAGTGGGTTAAGGAATTCATAAAAAGAATACTTCAAAAAAGTTTGTGGAATGAAAATATCATTTTTTTTTAGATGTCAAGCGATTTTGAAATCTATGTGCAGTTTTTACCGTAATTTTTCTGCAGGAACTCTCTCAAGATCCTTCCTTGGTGTGGATTTTGACGTTTTGTTTGTTTGTTGCATCCAGATAGGGGCATATCCGTGTGTTACATATTGCAAAACTGTCTTTTGAAATGTGTTTGGTAACTGCATTCCAACGTCATTTGGTTCCTTCATAACTGTTTTAGGCTTAGCGTTACAGGTAGAGAAACCTTCTTCTGAGAAGGTGCCCTCAGATCGAGGCAGGTCCTAAGTTTACCGTTGCACCCCCAAAACATGCACCATTTGCCAACCTGAGCATGCTCTGTCCGCTTTGCTCTCAAACTTCAGGGATCCAGGAGCCAAAAGGGCTGCTTTCCTTTGGTGGACTCACAGCGCCAAAGTTGAAAAAGTGACCGGAACGCAGCTTGCGTCGGAGTGCACCACGGTGTGAATTCCTCCAATGCTGTGGGCGTCAGGGGTGAGGCCATTCTGTTGGCAGTCTCAGCCTGGAAGGAGTGTTGTCTTCATTTTGAAAACCAAGCTGCTTCCCCCGTCTTCCACTTCCCCTCATGGGCTTTCTCGTTTGTTCTTTAAACCTGACATGAGGCGATCTGATCCTGGCCCCGGGGTCTTATTGATGGTGGGGACTTTTCATCTGTTGATCCCTTCCCCAATCTCACCCCCAGTTCTTGCTTCTCCCGTGCCCACCCCCCTACTCCCTCAGAACGCTCCTAACCCACACTGTCCAAGCTAACCTCCCCCTCTCTCCATCTGCTGGGGCCATCCACTATCCCAGCCCGTGAAAAGGAGGGGCGGGCGGGGGCTGGGGGAGTCCACAGGAGGCCGGCACAAGCTGAGCTATTCGGGATCCCCATCCGTGAAATCCTCCTGGGCCGTCCTTAACTCATTCCCCCAGCTCCATTCAAGGCAGCCCCCCAAGGGTCGCCGGCTTCAGCAGGCACTAAAACCTGTAGGGTACCGATCCTCTGACATTGAGGGAGAAAGAATTAAGGTCTCAGCCAGGGACGGCTAATATTTCTTGCCTCATTTTATTGCCGAACAGCGGGACTGTAAAGTCCCGGGCACTGGAACGCCATGGCTTCCTTTCATGTAGCCGAGATGATGGGATAAAAATGTGTTTGGTAAAGCAATTCAGATTAACACTGGGTCACATCCTCGCCGGCTCCCAGCATGCCCCCTCCCTCCCTCGGCTCAGCATCGCCCAGGCAAGAGATAATGCCTATGAAGCAAGCCCCTTGCGAACAGGACTCCCAGCCTGCAAAACAGCCAATTGTGGAGCTTGCCAGCAACACTGTTTTGTTGTTAATAGCTAGGGCTGCGGCAACTCAGAAGAAGAGCTGAGATGGCGGAGTGGGGAGTAAGTGCCTGCTCCAAAGTCAAGTCGGATGCCTTCCTGTAGCATCTTCCAGAGCCCGGGAGAATGACAGCCCTGAGACTCCTGCCTACAGGTGGGGGAGGAAGGTTGGGGAAAGAGGAAGATGCACCGAGGTTTTGAACTAGCCAACTGGGATGGCACATGTTCTCTGCCCTGATGTTGCCCAGGGAGCTGTCCTCTGTCTTCCAGTCCTCTCTGCTATGCTCTTGGGAGTTTTATGGTTCCCTCTTTCCACCCAGGGAACTGGGAATATGGTGAACTGTAAGCACACAGTTGACAGAATTCGGGTAAAAGAGAATAGCGCCTGGGATAGTTGTAAAGCGTCAGCTCACCTGGCTTCACTGAGAACTCCCTGAGTCCACATCCAACGAAACATCCCCAAGAGAAATGGTTCATGTTTTTGGCAGTCTGCAGTGCACCCATCTAGAGGGCCCTGTCCTAGCCCCTAAGCTCTGCATCTGGGACTGTAGCCTCACATCAGCCCATTCTTGGAAGTGAGAGGATCGGTATGACCCTGTGCGTGTGGCCATGTGACCTTCAACCAATTCCCTGCATCCTCTGGGTCTTGACTTTTTCCCAAGTATGGGATTCTGTGAGAACTGTGGGGAAGGCTGTAGGGGCGTGATGCTGTCTGCTACACTGATGACTGTTACTACTTTTATGGCTCAAAGAACCTGGAGTGCATTTAAAGTGGACCAGACTTGATCTGGGCAGAAGGTCTTGCCTGACTTGCTTCTTGCAGTTCTAAATGCACAGGACCAGGACCTAAAAGGGCAAGGAATGGCAGGGGGTGTCCCCTCAGTGAACAGCCATGGATGGACTCCTCCGCTGTTATCCGTGGCGTGTGCATCTCTGGCTGAGGACAACAGGAGTGATTTACAGCTTCGCATGTAGATGTTCAAAGCTCTCAGACTTGAGGACAAAAGACATGAGAAGGACTCCCTGTTTTTGTTAGGGGCCTGAGCTGTGGGGCGTTAGAGACAGAACCCCAGGGCCTCCCCAGGCTGCCAGGGCTGGGCTGTCATAAATCTGGGCAATAATGAGCACAAAGGACTTTATAATCAAGGACAGATTTGATTTTTGCTCCGGCCAAATCCGTCTGTGCAGTATGTGTTTTATAGGGAAAGAACTGCTCTCTGCCTGTATTCTCTTTCTGCAAGTCCAGGGCTGGGGGTGGGGTGGGGGCCAACAGCAGCAATCAAAGGTGGCAGGCCCTCTGTGGACGGTGGCCAGCCAAAGCCTAACCTTCCTGGAGGGGTGGGGTGGGGGTGGAAGGGACCCAGCTCCGATGCTGTGACTTCCTGTGGTGGTACGGGCCATTCATTTCTGTTTTGCTAAAATACCCGTGACGTGTGAATAAACCAGGATTACAGAACATTGTCTCGGTGGTAATCGGAGCCGGCGTGGGCTCTGGGTGGATGAAATATGGCGTTCTCTCTGAGCAAACATGGGAATTGGTATTACTCCTTGCCAAAGCTGAACACTGGGACTATTTAGGAGGGACGCATGAATGCGGCACTGTGGGGAGCGACAATTTGAAGGGGGCCAATTTGGGGGAGGGGCGGCTGGTGTGTGTACGTATGTTTGAGTTGGCCCGAGCCAACCTGTTAGGAGGGGGTCTGTGGGACAGGCAGCCTAAGGGATGTTCTGAGGATGAGGAATCCTTCTAACCTCCCAGAAAACCTCCCTGCTGCCTGTGCATCCCCAACCTGCCATACAGGCCCTTAACCCAGTGGTCTTGTCCATTCCTCCTGCCACACATTTCATGCCCAGGAATTCAGAGCAGCCCGTATTGCACTGCATCCCTGAGCCTTCATTGTCGCTGACACCATCAGGTGATCACAGCTGGTATTGTGACCTGATCCCCTCTCCTTCCCTGTCCCCAACTCCCATCTCCCGCCAGGACCCAGGCAGATGGATCCTAGCTGAGCCCTGTCTAATGACTGCTGCCGGCTGGCCGGCATAGCTGCCTCACCCAGCATCACCTCCTTCGCTGGAGACCAGAGCCATGCAGGTGTGGCAACAGGCTGCCCAAGGGCTATGCTGGGATCCCTATTGCAACTGCATCACATTATTTGGGGAGCCCTGTTCTCTCCACAGCCCAACAAGTGTGGTCTGACCGGAACTTCCACATAGACCTCTGTGCTTATCTTGCCATCCTAGAGTCTCTTTTTGGGGACAC